AGGTTGGACTACAACTCCCATCTCCCCAGCTGGCAGGATGGGAGTTGCAGCCCAATGCAACTGCAGGGCACCAGCTTGGGGATAATCAGAAGACTACAATGCATCCCCAGTTCTCCCAATTTGTTATTATGATTTCCCTGGATTGCACTGAATTAACATTTCCCCCCAGTTCTGCTGAACTGTGAGTGATCTGAATTAACCGGGTTGAAAGGAACTCATGTGGATATGTAGCCACCATGTTCAACTGAGCTGGTTAAGTAGATATGAGCCTTTTTATCCCTAATTCAGACCCAAAATTGCAAAGCACTTCCATTAGGCTGTACATGGCCAAACAGGCTGCTGGAAATACCGTGCAACTGCCTCTCAGGAGTTTCTGTTTTTAGCTGGAAAGATTCCTGTACTAGAAAGATCTACAAAGTTAAATAATAGAGCAATCTCGGGGGTCAGGAATGCAACTGAGAAAAGAAAACAGAATCCTAAATCCTTAGGTTCTTCAGGACAGTAATAGTTATATGGCTGGTTTGATAACAGAATTACAGAGTTGGAAGGGACCTTAGAGGGAGGAAACCATATACCATTTCAGACAAATAGTTGTCCAATCTGTTCTTAAAAACCTCCAGTGATGGATCACCCACAAATTCTGGAGGCAAGCCATTCCATTGATTAATTGTTCTGACAGGAAATTTTTCCTTAGTTCCAGGTTGCTTCTCTCCTTGAATCATTTCCATCTTTCGCTTTTTCTGATGTTCTGACCCACCACTGCAAGGACTTTGGATCTGTTCCCCTAATTTCCCCGCCGCCACCACAGCTCGATGAGGCAAGTTGAATTGAGAAATAAAAACTTGGAAATACAAGATAGCTGGACACTTCCTCCTTTACTCATCTTTCCTCATTTTGCACAAAACCACAATTCTTGTGTCGTTTCCTGTGGGGAAATGTTATTGGGCCAGGCCTGACCTTAGACAAGGTTACAAAAAGCGGGTAGATCAGATGTTCAGGGAAAAAAAATCACCCCTGGTATCCTGCAGATGTTCATGGCAATCATCAAATTCAAGATGGCGGTCAGTTTTGTGAGACACCTATGCCCCCCAGAAGATAGTGTTCATATCTTGACTCCTTCCTTCCTCCCTCCATCCCAGATACCCTGAATTGATTTTTTTTTGTTTTGTGAGAGAAAAATCCTTATAAATCCAAAAGCAGGCACTAATAAGATTATGGCTATATTTCTGTGGTTCTGTGGACAACCAGCTAAATAGGAGCCAGCAGTGTGCAGCAGCAGCCAAAAAACGAATGCAATCCTAAATTGCATTAACAGAGGGATACAGTCAAGATCAAGTGAGGTACTAATACCACTCTATGAAGCCTTAGTAAGACTATACCTAGAGTACTGCATCCAATTTTGGTCACCACATTGTAAAAAAGATGTTGAGACTCTAGAAAGTGTGCAGAGAAGAGCAACCAGAATGATGAGGGGACTGGAGTCTAAAACATATGAAGAACGGTTACAGGAACTGGGCCTGGCTAGTCTAGTGAAGAGAAGGACCAGGGAAGACAGGATAGCATCTCCCAATATTTGATGGGCTGCCACAGAGAGGAAGAGATCAAGCTATTCCCTGAAGCGCCTGTAGGCCAGACAAGGAATAATGGATGGAAACTGAACAAGGAGAGATTCAACTTGGAAATAAGGATAAATTTTCTGACAGTGAGAACAATCAACCAATGAATAGAACAGCTTGCCTTCGGAAGTTGTGGGAGCTTCATTTCCGGAGGCTTTTAAGAAGAGATTGGACTGCCATTTGCCAAAAATGGTGTAGGGTCTCCTGCTTGGGTGGGGGGTTGGACTAGATGACCTGTAAGGTCCTTTCCAACTCTGATTATCTGTTATCTGCCTTTGAAGGCAGAAACCTTGCATGCAGAGCATGTCAAAAGGCAGAAGGTAATGGGTATATAATTGAAAATGGGAATAAAGACATTTTTCTTTTTTTCTTTTTTACCAAACTCAGCATTCGTATTCTGATTCATTGAAGATTATTCCTAATCTCGGGTTTGGATTAAATGGTCAGTCTAAGAATATTCAAGGGTTTACACCGTAACTGGCAAGACACAATGCCTTGGGAATTCTCCCAAGTGCCAATCTCTTTGTGAAATGTCCCAAAGGTACTTTTTCAAAAAAGGCAACTGGATTTTGTTTTTCTTGAAGACGTTTCGCTTCTCCTCCCAAGAAGCTTCTTCAGTTCTGACTGAATGGTGGATTTACATTCCTCTCAAGTCATCTGGTCATTAGCTCTCTTTCTGAGAGCTGTTGAGGTCAGCTGGAGGTTTATCTGTGCCCCTATTGTGCAAAATGGGTGTGGAACCTCCTTGGAACTGGTGAAAGGACTGTGTTGTAAACAGGAGATAGGTGGTGTCATTTCCGTCCTCCTCCTCCTGAGAGAAGACTGTTCAATTTTGACATTGTTGGCCTCTTTTGACCTCTCTTTCAAACCAGCAGCCCCCTCTGTCCAGAATGCAGACTTTGCTGTCATCAAAAGAGCGGGCTTTGTCTTTCAAATGCAGATGGGCTGTTGAACCTTGTCCTGATGGCTTTGTTCTCTTGAGTTGTGCCATGGAACAAGACTCAGAAAGAGCGCTAATGGCCAGATGACTGCAAAGGACATAAATCCATTCTCCACCAGTCAGAACTGAAGAAGCTTCTTGGATCAGAAGCGAAACATCTTCCAGAAAAAACAAAGTTCTGTTGAAAAAACACCGTTGGGACAACCACGACCTGGATGAGCGAGAATCTCCATAGACCAGTGATGGCAAACATTTTTGGCACTGAGTGCCTGATCTGGAATGCGCGTGCATGCCGGAGTGCTGGAAAACTGAAGACCAACTGGCTGGTGTGTGCATGCCTGTTTTCAGACCGTTTTGGGGCCATTTTCAGGCCTTTTTTCATGCCAAAACCGGCCTGGAAAATGGCCTGGAAACACAGTCTGAAAAATGGCCTGGTTTTTTGGCCACTTTCAGGCCATTTTCTGGGCTGTTTTTCGACACCCTGGCACCCACGTAGATCAGCTGGCTGGCTCCCATGTGCATGCCAGAAACCAGAAGAGCAGCTGGCAATGGTTCATGTGCCCTCTGAGTGGGCTCTCTGGCATGCCTGCCATAGGTTCGCCACATTGGCCATAGATATTTTGAAATATACGACGTTTAGAGTGGTGTAACTTACACATATATAACAGAATCGAATTCTTTATTGGCTAAGTGTGATTGGACACACAAGGAATTTGTCTTTGGTGCACAAGCTCCCAGTGTACATTAAAAAAAGAACATTCACCAAGAATCATGAGATACAACACTTAGTGATAGTTATAGGATACTAAATAAGCTACACTGTTCAAAATATGGTATATTTCAAAAGGAGTCTATGGAATATGTATGTGTGTACGTATTCCATAGACTCCTTTTGAATATATATATCCAGGAAAAGTGATGCATTTATTGGGAACTGATATACGCAAACTAGAAATAAAAACCAATTTTGGGCAACCCCCCCTTCCATGATAAATTGCAGTCACGTGACTGCTAAGTGCTGCAAACAGCCATAAATGCAGGCCAGTTGCAGAGTCTCCAAAAGGACCCTGGAGAAGGTAGATCAGAACTTCTCATCCAGTTCATAAGTACCATTTGTTTTTGGGTCTGTCGAAACTTTGGTAAGTTTTTATACCCGCTGCTTCACGTTTTTTGTTGTTCAACCTTACCTGGAATTTACTTCCACATGACACCCCCCCCCCCAGCCCCCAAGCACAGAGGACACGTCACTCAAAATCAAACCAGCTTTTATTTACAAAAATAGGTGTCCTGCGTAGCCCCAGATGCAAGCTGAAAACAGCAGCTTTTCTGAGAGGTCCCCGTGTCTCCGAGACCTTCTCTTCCCTTTGGTTTAGAATAACAACAGTGCTCCCACCCCCCCTCAAGGCAACCTGGTGAGGTGGATAGAAAAGAGAGTCGTGAGAACGGAAAATAAAAATAGTGGAGTGCAAAGTTTTCCACTGAAAACATGGCTGACACCCGAGGGAGGCAGGGTGTGTTGGCCGATGAGGCAAGGCAGTGACTGTGAATACTTTTTTGTGCAAAGGAGTGGAAGACTCAAAAGGGTTTGAAGAGTTGTCTGGATGGACCAAACCCCACCCTCCTCAAACCAACATTGTGCTTCCGGTGGCTAGGAATGGATTCTTAGGATTGGATAGAAAGTCACCCCCCGCCCCCCCACAAATACATCTCCCTAAAAATCTTTTTACCTAACACCGAGATCCAAAAGTGGGAAAAGAAAGATAAGCGAGTGCCAAGGTGGAGATGGACACAGGGAGGCCGAGAACATTTCGCCTCGGGCCCCAAACACGACAAAGAGAAATCAGCTGTAGAGTTTTTTTACGCAGCTTTTTTTTGTGTGTGTGTGTGTTTTGTTTTTGTTTTTCCTTTTTAAAAAAATCCAAAACGGGTATAAAAGCATCCTTCCTAGGAGATGAAAAGAATGGAGACCCCGGGACAAATGGTCGGCCCTGGTTGGGGTGAGCCAGGGAGTCAGGCAGCAAAGAGCAATTCCGCCCTGGGGGGGGGGGGGGGGGGGGGGGGA